ATTATTATTATTATTAAACCGGGCTCTTCTGCGTCCGACAGTACAGCACCTAAGCGCTACACCACAGACATTGGCCAAGAAGATTCATGGGCCAATCCAATCAGGCCAAATTAAATCGATTTTGTGATTCTCGGCTTTTTTCATCAAAATACGTGCTGAAAAGCAAAGCAAACGGATTGTTGATATACCTGAATTTGTGCTTACGGGGAGTACACAAAAGCGTTACTGCTCTGAGCGATTATGTTTTCAAATAAATGTTTGATGGTTTTTTTTGTGCAAAATGTTAGTTAACGTTGACTGTAAACTGCCGCCCCTAAAGCAAACCGTTTTACTGTTTTGAGATTTGTCTTTTTTTTTTGTAGAGGGTTTACGGCGCTCGCAATTGCATAAGGTCATATGAGCGCCAAATCGGGATTTTTATAATTAAAAAACCCTAAAAACCTTTCATAACAAAATGTTTTTCAAACTTTAAATAAGATTTTGATTATTGTTTTTCTCACTTCTGTAACAACTCATGTCGTTCCACCATTAAGTTCCGTTTCGTGAATTCAGAATTTTAGAAAAGGGATTTTTGAAACAGAAGGAAATTAATATCATCGTCATCCCAGAATCGGCCAACGACAGGACAGTCCATTTACATTGGACAATGTTTAGAAACCGTTTACTTTGTGTGATTGTTCAAGTTCTTTGTTTACTACTATAGTGTGGTCAAAAATTCGTGGTGCAATTTATCCTCAAATATCTCTTTAACGGGTGAATCAATGTCATCCATACTTTGCATGGCAGTATGTATCAATTTGTCTTAACTTAATCATATTTTTCCAGAATAATTTGGGGCTAGATTAAAAAACTTTTTTTCATAAATTAATATAAAATCCTTGAAATCTCTGTCACACGTAAAATGGTATTGTTCACAGCACTTCCCGCTTCTCACACTCATTTTGATTACGTATATGGCCTACGTCACAGCTCATCAATGACAATTTTTACTTGCAAAACTTGTTACAAGAAATTATTATTGTTACAGTGAACACAATATATTAATTTTACACAAATGGTTCTCAAAACATGAGTTCAATAAGCATAATGTCCCGATTAGAAAAACCCGACGGACTTGCTATTAAAAGCAATATTGCCCCAGCAGTAAACATTCAAAAATCTGTACAAAACACCTACTACAATTTTTATAAGTATTTATTAAGGAATTTTCTATAATACAGCTTTCAGGTGTTTACAAACATGTTGATCTGTTAAGACAAATTGATACAAGTCACTGTGCAAAAATAGGAGAACCTATGTTCGATAGTTGAGGAGATATTTGACAATTAGTCTCATCACGAATTTTTTTTTACCGCACTATAGTTGACTAAATCGTTTGCAAATCGGAAGACTTCAACGGATTTTTGCTTTTTACCAAAGTTTAGAACATAGTGCAGTATTTACCATCTTAAAAATGTGTTATTTTACGAAATTCCGATTTAAGATACCGTGAACGTCGCAAAAATATCTTCAACAAATTTCTTTTTAACTAACAAAATACATGTAGAGAATTACTGACTATAAGCAGCCACAGGACATTTCACCCGTCTTCCTAATATGAAGAAGTTTTAATATTCAAATGGTATTTAAGACTTGTGTCAGCCTATTCTCTCCCCGGATAGGCCTGCTTACTTATGCAGACATTTTTTCAGAAACTCCTCAACAAATATTTGTAAGTAATGCTAATATTCGAATAATTTAAGATACATTCTATGAAGTAAAATGCTTTACAGTTGCTTTGTCTCACACATTTCCGTTCAAAAAAGGGTTGACAGTCCGACATAAAAGAAGCTTATTCGTCTTGCCTTTGAACATCAGTCACAGGACGAGACATACGAACTACATTAATTTTTAGTCTTAGTTTAGTATGTGGTTTTACGGCGCTCGCAACTGCATAAGGTCATATGAGCGCACGAAACACAAGTTAGTTTTTTTTTGTAATACGCAGTTTACTGCATGGCAGGGTATAGGTTATTTGATCTTAAAACGTTAAAATACTACATAAATTGTCACTGGAGCAAAATGATTATTCTGTCAAATGAAAACAGTCAACTACAATCTTAAAACGAGTTTTCTCAAAGAGCAATATAAGGCAAGATATTAATCTACGTGTCCACCTCCCGGGGCGGTGCTGCCGACTGAAGTGTCTTTAAGTCATTCCCAAAGGCGGGGGGGGGGGGGCATCAACATCTTGAGTTCTTATGCACAATAGAACTGTAATTTTAAATGTGCTGATTCATCAATGTCATGCTCATAACTGTGCCTGAACTACAACAGGGAACCTCTGATTTTTCTTTCCTAATCCTTACTATCATCATTTTCCTCTATTTCTTTTGTATGTTTGTCTCACTCTTAAGGCCCTCTATTTCTGAGGAGCCTTGATAGTCGAAGCAGACTTTGTGCTGTTGAAGCTAGAGAGGTGAGCAGAGTAAGCCTGGTTCCCTGTAAGGACTTCTCTGTTGACATCCACCTGTTGGCGCTCATGTGACCTTATGCAGTTGCGAGCGCCGTAAAATCTCTACTAAAACAAAGAATCTAGGTATACCCGAGGATAATATACCTTGGTTCCGTCAAAGCCGAAGCCAGAGTTATTGTCACAGAAGCTGGGCGAGTCCTCAAAGTAGACGAGGTC